ATGCTTGCTGCAGAGGAATAATGAGGATGATAATTATTTTTTATTTATATGCTGCCCATCTGACTGAGTTGCCCCAGCCACTCTGGGTGACTCCCAGCAAATTAAAACATCAAACACAGTAAAGTCTCAAACATCAAAAGCTTCTTTCAGATGTCTTCTAAAAGTCAGATAGTTGTTTATTTCCTTGACATCTGAGAGGAGAGTGTTCCACAGGGCGGGAGCCACTACTGAGAAGGCCCTCTGCCCTCCACCAGAAGGCCTTTGGAGGTGGGCCTCAGAGTCTTGGCTGAACAATGGGAGTGGAGATGCTCCTTCAAGTATACAGGAAGGAAAGTCCTTTCCTCCACAACCAGCATGGCAGGTTGGGGGACCTTTGGGCCTCTGGATGTTGAACTACAACTCCCATCATCCTTGGCCATTGGCAAGGGGGCACTTCCCTCTTCCAGGATTTGGCTGCCTCAGCTGGGGAAACTGCACTCCCATTTCTACTCTTCTTTCTAGGGGAAAGGAGTGCCACAACAGGATCCAAAAGGGTCATAAGCCAACTGCTAAGGGTGGAGGGACAGGAGCCTGAAGGGGAGGGGATACTCTGGTCACCCAGGAACAGACACATTGTCCCCACCGTAGCGAGCATCTGCATGTGCGACAGGCTTGCAAGGCATGAGAGTCTCATGAATGAGCTTTAAAAGCTTGGTGGATGGACATGACCACTCATTGGGACAACTTCATTGCTTCCATAGACCCACAGAAATGTAGAGTTGGAAGGGACCCTGAGGATCATCCAGTCCAACTCCTGCAATAATATGCAGTTGATCAAACTTGCAACCTTGGCATTATCAGCACCACGCTCTAAGCAATTGACCTATCCATGCAGTTCTGAACTCCATGCCCTGATCAGAGACTCCTTAAACTTGGACCGCTGCTCCCAATCCAGTTAGACTCATCTTTCCTGTCATTTAGCCTGACTGTAGCAGCTGTTGCAGTACATTACCTGCTGTTGAGCCTATAGCTCTTCTCTGCCTCAATAAAAATCTCCTCCTTACTCTCAAGGAAGAGCCTCGGTCATCGTGGTCTGGGCGGGAGCCAGGACAATATTGGAGAGTTTGGTGCGGCTTGGAAGCTTTGAAGAGTAGTTTAACAGCACATTAGGTGACAAAAAGCTGCGTCATCTGGTTATAGCTTTGTAGCGGCAATAAAAAGGGTGTGTGTGTGTGTTGGAAACCCCATAAAGGTATTATGTGTGATGCAGCCAGCCTGCAATAATGAGGCCATACTAAAACCTTCCCTCAGACAGCTGCGAGTGTTTGCATGTGGGAGACTTGGAAGTGGAAGAACAAAAAGGGAAAAGATCAGCGATAAACCCATTGCCACAAAAACGCTTTTGTTTTTTTCCCTTCCAGGCAAGCCGGGGGGTTAGATTTTGCCTGCGGTGGAATTTAGTCAACTTCCAGCACTACCTTACCTGTTCATCTGAGTCTGGGGATACTTTCAGAATGTCACTGTTTTGTGGCATGGGATTCAATCTCATACCAGCAATTTCAGGAGATGCAAATATAATTGACTGGGAAGTTTAGCACAAGCCCAGAAGACTGGACCTTTTGCAATAAGGAAAGTGATGAGAAAATAGACTGGAAAATGTGGGATAACACCTGGCTTGATGCAGCATCATCTAACTGCCCCACAGACAAATCAGAATAAATATCAATGTCATATAATCTCCCTACAAACAAATCAGCATGAAAGCTCAACAAACCGGTCCGGAGGCCCTCTTGATTTAGCATTCTGGGATGCAATCCTATACATGGATGATGGTCTGCATTCAGTTTGGCGGGTAAAATATTGTGCAGGCCTGCATAAAGATGAACGCCATTCAACAGGTACTGAGTGCATCTCCTTTTCCACGTAGCAACCATGACCAGCAAAGATGATGTAGTCTTCTAAGGCAAAGGGTTTCCAGATGAAAGGGCATGGACTTCCAAGTAGTTCTCATTTTATATTATTAACTGAAATTCTTTTGCACCTTGTTTGAAGGGTCCCAAGGTGAGTAACCATAGAAATTTAAATCCAAATACTGTGTAGACCCCTTTGTTCATCATGACGTTGTTTCCATCTTAGGGAAGGTTGGGAAGGTATGAGTAAACAGGGCAGTTTTCACTATACATTGGCATTTTTCATTCCCATATGTACACAAAAATTCTAAAGTCAAGTCAAATCTAAACCCACATAAGCTTAACCGCAAGACAATAATAACTAACCCGCCCCCTACAAACATAAAGTGAGATCCTGAATGGCTGTTATAAAACAATGCTTTGATATGTACCAACGTGTGTGCAACTCTTTTGCAACCACAAATGTCATAAAAGGAATCTCGTGTATATTTTTTCCAGGCAGCACTGAAGCTAACTAAACAGCCAGAATGCCCAAGGAAGCTCAAAGAGTGAAAGATCAGTTTCCTGAATTGTTGAAGCTCTTTCATGGGTTGACCCCCCCCCCCCAGAGAAACAGATTCTTGACAAATAGCATCCCCTCCTTGAGAGGCAGAGCTAAATAACATGTCCCCTTTTGCAAGATGAGGAATCATAGAATCATAGAGTTGGAATAGACCACAAGGGCCATCGAGTCCAACCCCCTGCCAAGCAGGAAACACCATCAGAGCACTCCTGACATATGGTTGTCAAGCCTCTGCTTAAAGACCTCCAAAGAAGGAGACTCCACCACACTCCTTGGCAGCAAATTCCACTGTCGAACAGCTCTTACTGTCAGGAAGTTCTTCCTAATGTTGAGGTGGAATCTTCTTTCTTGTAGTTTGGATCCATTGCTCCGTGTCCGCTTCTCTGGAGCAGCAGAAAACAACCTTTCTCCCTCCTCTATGTGACATCCTTTTATATATTTGAACATGGCTATCATATCACCCCTTAACCTCCTCTTCTCCAGGCTAAACATGCCCAGCTCCCTTAGCCGTTCCTCATAAGGCATCGTTTCCAGGCCTTTGACCATTTTGGTTGCCCTCCTCTGGACACGTTCCAGTTTGTCAGTGTCCTTCTTGACACTGTCTTTCATGTCTGTGCAGACCTTTCGGTGATTGCTCTCTTAGACTTTAGATTAGAACTTTCTCCCTGGAGAAACTAGACTGGCTCCCTCTTTGCTGCCCTTCCACCAGCAGGCAAAGACTTTCGTGTTCCAAAAGGCTTTGGGGAACTGACTGCTTTCAATCGAAAGGGCTGGTGGTGTGCTGTTTCTATTGGAATTACTGGTGTGGTTTTAATAGATTTTATAGATGTTTACAGTTTTAATTCTATCAATGTTTAATTGCTTTTTAATGATTGTTTTTGGCAGTTCTTATTTTTATCTGTAAGCTGCATTGAGTCCCATCTGGGGGGAAAGGGGAACAACAACAACAGCAACAGCAACAACACAGGTTTGCTTCTGGAAAGGAGTGAATGTCTCCATCAACGGTGGGCACCCTCCATCTCGTGGACCCGGTGCTTGGAAAGTTCATGTAAAAAGGAATTCATTCCAGTTCCATTTCACCCCCTCCAAAAAAGGAACTGATTCCATTTCAGGGTTGGACTAGATGACCGTTGGTTGGGGTAGCTTCCAAAACTACAATTCCTTGAATTCACATGGTCCTTGGCGTTTTTTCCACCAAATTTTCCAAGCTGCTCTGCTAAAGTATAAAGTATTATTCAAAAGACTAGGAAAACATCAAAACACGTGCATAGTGTAATGTGAACATTTATTTTATTTATTTTCCCCAACAATTATGATATTGTAGCTTAAAGAGAAGTGTTACTTCTCAGATAGGTAATAATGGTAAATGCAATGGCCACAGTCAAACAGAGCGTAGTGCAATGAAACCCCTATGTATAAAACTTACTGAATTAAGATTAAAATTGCCTTTATTTTATTTACATGTTCACAAGTAAAGAGAGCATTTAAGTACATGCTCAGTATCACAGAACATGCATAAGTCTAGTCCGGACTGTGTTTCGTGCAGCTATTTCACAAGGCATAGGTATTCCTCAGTCTATCACCTAAAGCTCGTGGCAACAGGGTTTATCTTCACAACAATCCGGTGAGGCAGGTTAGGAGTAGCCCAAGGACGTCACCCAATGAGCTCCAGGACTGAACAGGAATTTGAACCCAGGTCCAACCAGTATGCACTACATCAGTCTGGCTCTTGGACTTATTTCGCATGGAGATCCCAGTTAACCTTCCCCTCCAACCCTATAGCCATTCTTTGCATACACTTGGTCACATTGTTATACGGCATTAAACTAATGGGATCAATGGTAGTGAATGGTAAGCTTCATGTGCTGTCCACTCCAAATAGGCAGTGCTTCAAGGATATCTCCGTGACATGGGTCTGTGTTACAGATTGCTTTTTGTTTAGTCTTGGTACTGTGGTTTAATCAAATCTGACCAAGTGTTTGTAAACACATTTTTTTAAAAAAACCTTTCATCTGTTAGCTTCGCATCTGATGAGAAACAGAATTAACAAGAATTTGCAGGACTTGCATGTGCCCCTGATCTTTGGTTCCTACATATTAACCCTATTTTATCAAATTAGAAACATCCCCAAGGGTTGTATTTACAGTGTTTGGGTAGTCATCCTGCATGCTTAACTCAGAGTAAGCCCCACTGAACTGGATGGAGTTTACTGCTGAGGAGACATGCCTTGTTGCCCTGATCAGAGTGTTGGTCTATCCCACCCGCAGGGCTCAGAGCAAGATTGCAGTACCAAGTACACAAACAGGAGGCCAGACTGGAAACAGACTGGGATATAATGAAGCAGAAACTTTCACTCCAACCATGGTTCTTCCATTGACTGATCTACAGAAGTTTTCAGCAGTGAAACAACAGAGAGTGGCAATAGTCTCAAGCAACAAAAGTCTGTAGCATTTTGCTCTCAGAAGGGGAAATCTCTTTCTAAGTAATTCTGCCCCCCCCTCCGTTCCCTAAAACCCTCTATTAATTCCAAGGAGATGATGATGCCATTGATTAATTTGAACATTGTGGCTCCAGTTCCAGTTCTCTGATAATGGGATTGTGAAGCAGCCAGTTGCTTGTTACCAGAATTGTTATTATGGCTTGAGAACAACCATACAGGGACTTTAACATTACAGCTGGTTGCAAAGACAATGTCGTATAAAGTTTCAACAAGCTTCCAGTTTACGCAGAGATATATTTCCCCCCCACCTTACCTTTAAGGATGCTGCAACCTGCCAAACCACCTGTGAATTGATTCCCTGGGAGGCAAAGATGAAGATAGAGCCATTTGTTTACAGGAGGAAACAGCCATCCATCATTACTTTATAAACTGATCCACTCACTATATGCCAATTGCTTTAGAAATACAGAGATTGGGAAGCATAGGATATTGCCTGGATTCTGGTGAAACGTGGCCTTCATAGGCTTGCATCTTGAGATAAACAGAGTGGTGCCTGTTTGTTTGTTTGTTTGTTTGTTTGTTTGTTTGTTTAAGGCCTCTATATCCTGCTTAATCATTTGCATTTCCAAGCAATGTGCGTAAAAGCAATCCACAGAAAAACAAGGTGATAAAACAATACAGTGGTATCTCGGTTTACAAACTTTTTTTATTTTTATTTTTATATAAAATTTTTATTAGTTTTTTTAATCATTTTCAACAGTAATTAAACATACTTTTACATCTTATTCATTTTTTTTTTACTTCCATCAATCCTGTCTGAAAATTTTCCAATCTAATCTCTTAGTATGCATTTCTTATTTTCCCTATTACATTTCATTTATCTTTTTCTACTTTGTAACACTTCGTATATTTCTTCTTACAAAACTTCTTATAGTCCTACTAGGGTAATTTGTTGATTACAGTTGCTCTTGAAGTAATTCATATACTTCTTCCAATCTTCTGTAAATCTCTGGTCCCACAGGTTTCGAATCCTTCCTGTCATTTTGTTCAATTCTGCATAGTCCATTAATTTAATCTGTCATTTTTCTTTCAGCGGAATTTCTTCATGTTTCCATTTCTGGGCTAACAATACTCTTGCCGCAGTTGTTGCATATAAAAACAATTTAACATCTTGCCTGTTAATGTCCTGACCTATAATACCAAGTAAAAATGCTTCTGGTTTGTTTGTTGTTGTTTTTTAACCCCCCCCCCAAAACCTTGGTTTACGAACTTAATCCATTCCGGAAGTCCATTCTTAAACTAAAAACGTTCTTAAACTGAGGCGTGCTTTCCCTAAAGAGGTCTCACGCTGCTGGTAACCTTCCACCATTTGGATTCCATTCTTAGACCGAGGTAAAGTTCTCAAACCAAGACACAATTTCCAGTTTTGCGGAGTTTGTAAACCAAATCGTTCTTAAACTGGATTGTTCTTAAACCAAGGTACCACCGTATAACATTTATCATAAAACCGAATGCTACCTTAAAATGTTGGAATGGGAAAGTCCTACGGCTTGTCTCCACTTCCGCTTGTCCTGCCAATCAATCCCATACCCTCCAACATTCCTCCGCTGGAAATTAGGGCCTGGAAATTAGGGCCTTCCTAAGGGAAAAACAGGACGTTCTGGGATCAAATCAGAAATGACTTCCGTAAATTGTGAATTGTGCTTGGAAATGTACTGGGAGCCAATGTAGGTCTTTCAAGACCAGTGTTATGTGGTCTCGGCGGCCGCCCCCAGTCACCAGTCTAGCTGCCGCATTCTGGATTAGTTGTAGTTTCCGGGTCACCTTCAAAGGTAGCCCCACGTAGAGTGCATTGCAGTAGTCCAAGCGGGAGATAACTAGAGCATGCACCACTCTGGTGAGACAGTCCGCGGGCAGGTAGGGTCTCAGCCTGCGTACCAGGTGGAGCTGGTAGACAGCTGCCCTGGACACAGGGCAAAACAAAAAATATGTTTTGTTGTACATTTCTTCTCATGCCACCATGTTTCCCCTCACCCAGCAGAGTCCTGGTCTCCCTTCTGGTCCTTCATGTCATGGAAAATAAGAAGCCTGCCCGCTTCACCTCTTTACTTCATGCCAACCGACAGTACAGACAGGTCCTGTCAATGAGGGAAATATTATCCATGAGTTGGAAGCAAGGACTTGTCTTCTCATACCTCCGACCAGCACAAACTTGAGACATGCAGGCTGTGTACACACCAAAATCTAAAGCTCATCTCCCCTCCCCAAAGGATCCTGCGAACCGTAGTTTGTTAAGGGTGCTGGGAAATGCAGCTCTGTGGGGTGTGTGTGAACTATAGTTCCCAGGATTCTTTAAAGTGCCTGTATGCTTTAAATGTATGGTGTGTACACAGCCGTAGCAGCTATCTTCCACTTAGTAGTTCCCAAATTTATCATTCCTTCTTTCCCAAGAGGCAAATGGCTGGCACCCAACGTTGTGTGTGCCTATCAGTTTTCAGCCCTAACTAGACACTAAACACTTTCTTGGTTACAGGCTATATGTGTCCTTTGGGGACTGTGTGCCAGAAGAATTAAGAGCAGCAACTGTGTCGGTGCGCAACACATGGCTCCCTTGACCGTTGTAAACTCCAGGCATCAAGTCTGGTATCAGCAGCTTGTGGTTAAGAGGTCTGGGTAGTGTTTTCTGCCTATCAATTTGGCCTGCATGTTGGATTCCGCTTTTGTTGCCAGACTGTTTTAGGGTCTGCACTGATGGTAGGTTTGCTCTGGATGGTTTTTTCTCACAGTGCTTTCTTTGTGAATTTGATTCTGTCAAATTGCAGCTTTTCTGAAGGCCAGAGCAGTTACCAATAAAGAAAAGTGAACAATGACATGACATTCTGAAGGGGATGATGGTGATAATAAGTATTATTAATAATACCATTTCATTCTAAGTAACTGAAATACAGTCGTACCTTGGAAGTCAAATGGAATCCATTCCAGAAGTCTGCTCGACTTCCAAAACATTCGGAAACCAATGCGTGGCTTCTGATTGGCTGCCGGAAGCTCCAAAATGTTCAAGAACTAAGCTGTCCGAAAACCAAGGTACGACAGTAGAAACTTCAGGATGTGCTCTGCCAGGAAGCAAGAGTACCTCACCTAGGCCAGATTCATGCCAGCGCCAGATTTAGGGTGGTGCAGGTGGTTCCCTGATACAGGAAACTGAGCTGGGAGGGTGCAAAATCATCATCATCATCATCATCATGGTACCTACTGAGAAGATCCATTAAAAAACAACCAAAAGAAATGACTGTGGAAATAAGAAATATTGGGGAGGGGGCACCAAATTTTGTCCTCACTCAGGGCACCATATTACCAAAGTCCCCCTTCAGTCATCAAATAATGATGATTTGATTCCTCCCTCCCTCCTTGTTCCCAATGTTGATCTTTATTCCCACCTTTTCCCTGATGTAGATCTTCACTCATTCCTTCTTCCCTGGTGGTGGTGGAAGCCATTTCGTGGTTCACCTCAGGTGCCAAAATGTCTTGAGCCGACCCTGAGGAATGCTGTTGGTCGGGCTTGCAATCTATTGTGAAAGTGGTAATCTGTGAATTAAAAAAAGCAGTAGCTTGTGCATTAGGAGCATTTTTGCTGTTGCTGGTTTAAATCACTGAGGGCACAAGGAGAAGGGGACGACAGAGGACGAGATGGTAGGACAGTGTTCTAGAAGCTACTAACATGAGTCTGACGAAACTGCGGGAGGCAGTGGAAGACAGGAGTGCCTGGCGTGCTCTAGTCCATGGGGTCACAAAGAGTCGGACACGACTAAACAACTAAACAACAACAAGTTTAAATCAGCCTTCCCCGTCTTGGGCCTATGACGTCAGTCCAAAACAGCTGGAGGACAGCAGTGTGGGGGTGGCTACTTTAAGCCCTTAAATGACCAAGCAGCACACTTCAATGACAATAACAAAAGAATAATGTAAGATGCAAAGAAGAAGGTAATGGAAGGCATGCAATGAGGATAAGAGGAATTAAATATGTAACTTGACTAATTACATTTCACAGTGTAGTGCTTAGGGCTGTTCTTTAGGAATTGTTATCCTATGATTATGTGTGCATGATATATGGATGTGTTTTGCGTCATGGATCATGAGGACCACAAGCTCTGGGAAGATTCCCCACCATTTCTTTTCAAAAATTGGCAGATGGGACCAAGGTGAATTCACTGATTTGAATAAAGAATGCATTCAAAATATTTGTTTAGTTATTTTCAATATTTCTATACCTTCCTATTACTGTACTACTATGTTGGCCAACTGCAATTTGCTCTATCCAACAATGCAAACTGATGGCTTCAACTTACAAGAAAGGAGATTCCAACAACAACAACAACAACAACAACAACAACAACAACAACATTATTATTATTATTATTATTATTATTATTATTATTATTATTATTTATACCCCGCCCATCTGGCTGGGTTTCCCTAGCCACTGTGGGCGGCTTCCAACAAAATATTAAAATACAGTAGTCCACCAAACATTAAAAGCTTCCCTAAACAGGGCTGCCTTCAGATGTCTTCTAAAAGTCTGGTAGTTGTTGTTCTTTTTGACATCTGGTGTAACTTGGCTTCTCGCAGTGAGGGAACTGCCAGAAGGCCCTGGGCGCTGGACCTCAGTGTCCGGGCAGAACTAAACACCAGGAAGAACTTTCTGACAGTAAAACAGTCTCCCGTGGGAGGTGGTGGACTTCCTTGGAGGTTTTTAAGCAGAGGTTGGATGGCTTTATGTTATGGATGCTTTAGCTGAGATTCCTGCATTGCAGGGGGTTGTACTAGATGACCCTCAGGGTTCCAACTCTACAATTCTACGACTCTATGGAATTTAAGCTAAGTTTGTGCATGCCCACTTTGGTCACCTGTAGTGAGTAAGAACTGACTGTAGGCAACCAGGCAGGAAAGGATTACATAAACCATTTTGTTTTTAAAGGCTAAAAAATGCAAAATACAAATACAGTCGTACCTTGGGTTGCGAACGCTGCGGGTTGCGCGTTTTCGGGTTATGGACCTGGAACGGGTTACTTCTGGGTTTCGCTGATTAAAAACATGTTTATGAATGTTGCTTCTTCCTCAAGCCTCACTCTATTTCCAACATATTTTTCTTCTCTCCTCCAACAAAGTTTATGTTCTTTAATCACGTTACACCACAGAAATAAAGGCAGCTAATAAAACTGAAACAAACAAGTCTTTGTTGACTTTAGCAAGGGCTTGATGTAGGACTTCAGTAGAGCTGGCGGCTCAGCAGGATTTAGCAGGCCTTCATGGAGAATGTTAAAAGGGGATTCTATTCTTACCGCTAAGCATTGGATCTATCTTCCTGGTCCTGTATGCACATGATGTTTTTTTGCTTTAAATATGGGGCAGCTGCTATTATTATTATTATTATTATTATTTCAATCATGCAGTTCCTAAATTGAAGGGGAACAGTGATAGCTCAGTGGTTCAGCATCTGCTTTGCATGCAAAAGATCGCAGGCTCAATCCCTGGTATCCTTGGTATCTCCAGGTAGGGCTGCCAAACACTGCAGCCTCTGAAACAGTGGAGAGCCACTCCCAGCCAGTATCAGCAATACTGAGCTAGATGGACTAGCGAACTGACTTGGTTCAAGGCAAATTCCTATTTCCCCCCTAAATTGAAGTCTGAATTCAGGGCACTGCTGAGGCCTGCTGAGTATTTGGGGTGGCGCATCCTCTTTTGCCATTTAAGAACAAATGGGAAGTGCCTCTTTGCCCTGCCACTGCCACCGCTCCTGCCACTACCTACCACTTCCTCCTGCCCATCACCTGCTCTGCCTTTGCCACATGCCCCGCTGTGAGAAGCGCCACCGCCACCGCCATCGGTGCAGATGGTGATCTGGGCCAAAATTGGTGTGGGTAGTGTCATGTGACAAAGACACATGAGAGCAGAAGCAGCAGAGCAGGCTGGGAAGTGCTGGGACTGCACAGTCATTTGGGCTTACTAGCAGTGCTGGGCAGCAGGGGATGTGCTACTTGAGGGGCTTCTGCCATCTGAGGCAGTGGCCCATGTTCCCTAACAGCTGGCCCGGCCCTGATTCAGCCTATCCTCTTGCCCATTTCTCCTGTTTCCTCAATGCACCAGAAAAGCACCACAATGGATCACCGAGGGAAATTCAAAATGGAGGGCGGCTTGCATTTGCTGCCAACCGTCACTGACCATTCACTGCTGCTGCCTGGAGAGGCCACATGGGATTCTGGGGAAGGGTTGTCGCCAGGGGACGACCAATATCTGAAATGGTGCAGTTGAGCAAAATAAAATTACACATCCATGAGGCAGCTAAACCTCTACAGCAGCAACTTCACCCCTGTTCCTACACAGGGGCGTCTTACCCATAGAGGCTAGTGGCATGGGGCGCCGGGGCACCAAGTTCTGGAGGGCGCCAGGGAAGAGGTGGAGGCTGGATGTGGTGCCTCCTGGCATCAGCTCGCTGCTCCTGCCTGCCTCCGCCATGCCGCGCCGAAGCAACACTGCGCCTGGAGCCTCCGTCTGCCGCGGCCACTGAAGTATGAAGCGGCCAACTGAGCCGGGAGGCACCGTGTCCAGCCTCTGCCTCTTCCCCGTCGGAGGAGCCGCCCTCCAGCCGCTGCCCGCCTCCTCCAGCAGTGCCGCCCTCCCTAAAAAACTCTGGAAAATGGGGACTGGGGGGCGCCAGAGGGAGCTTTGCACCACGGCCCTGAATATGCTTAAGACGGCCCTGTTCCTACAGCTCACCTGGGTACAAATTACTCAAGCAGTAAACTTGAATCATGCAGAGATGAAAGAGTGCCATGAGGATATTTATTTACTTTTTTTTGTACAAAGTTGTGTGCAACCTTTCCACCAGATATATATATATATGTCTGTGGTGTTCATGGCAGCTTAACTGATGTTCATAAAAAACATCAAAGGTGTCACAAACGAAATAAAGCAGCAAATACAGTGGTACCTCGGGTTACAAATGCTTCAGGTTACAGACGCTTCAGGTTACAGACTCCGCTAACCCAGAAATAGTACTTTGGGTTAAGAACTTTGCTTCAGGATGAGAACAGAAATCGTGCGGCGGCGGCAGCGTGGCAGCAGTGGGAGGCCCTATTAGCTAAAGTGGTACCTCAGGTTAAGAACAGTTTCAGGTTAAGAATGGACCTCCAGAACGAATTAAGTTCTTAACCTGAGGTACCACTGTATGATAAAGAGCAGGGGTCAGCAAACTTTTTCAGCAGGGGGCCAGTCCACTGTCCCTCAGACCTTGTGGGGGGCCGGACTATATTTTGAAAAAAATAATAAACAAATTCCTATGCCTCACAAATAACCCAGAGATGAATTTTAAATAAAAGGACACATTCTACTCATGTAAAAACACGCTGATTCCCAGACCATGCATGGACCGGATTTAGAGGGCGATTGGGCCGGATCCAGCCCCCAGGCCTTAGTTTGCCTACCCATTATAAAGAGGCACACTGGCACAAAAGAAAACCCCTAAAGCAAATAAAAAGGTGGGAAAATATTTATGGCAGTCCAAAAGCCAAACTCAAAAAAGCCAAGCTGAGTAAGTGGACGGGTATAAACGAGATCACAACTGCAACCTGAGCCATCGGTGGCTGGTTTGAACAGGATCCTTTGCTGGGTGCCTTAAGAGGTGAGTAAAAAGAAGAAACTCCAAAACGAGAGAACAACCACAGGAAAGGCCATCACTTGAAGAACCACTTTCCTAACCTTTGTAGCTGAGTAAACCTGAAAGATGTTCTGTCACGATAGGGATTAGTGTGAAGTTTATGAGGGAAGGTAAAGTTTCAGGTACAGTGATCCTATCTGTACCAACAATAAACAAATGGTATTATTGAACCATACATTTAAGCGCTATTGTACCATTTCAAACAATCACAACTTTGCCCCAAAAGTCTTGGGAACTGTAGTTTTTTTGGTTTTTTTTAAGTGCTGCATGTTTTTAGGAAACCTTGTACTCTTCACATATCTATAATTCTCAGAGCTCCCTGGGAAGAGGAGCTGATTGTTAAACCGTTCTGAGAACAGTGAGAAGATAGGGGGGTCAACTAAAAGTCAACTATCTGACTTTTAGAAGATATCTGAAGTTTTTAATATTTGATGTTTTATCATGTTTTTAATATTCTGTTGTGAGCTGCCCAGAGTGGCTGGGGAAACCCAGCCAGATGAGTGGGGTATAAATTGTTGTTGTTGCTGCTGCTGCTGGTAAAATGTGAGAAATGTGGTAAAATACATCGATTTTCCCTGCCCCCATTCTTCTTCTTCTTCTTCTTCTTCTTCTTCTTCTTCTTCTTCTTCTTCTTCTTCTTCTCCTCCTCCTCCTCCTCCTCCTCCTTCCCCTGCCCATCTGAGTTATGGACTCATAACCAACCTACTTTCAGCAGCCAGAAACATCATAACCAGACACTGGAGAGACCTGTCAGGAGTAAGCATGGACCAATAGTACCAAATAGTACGGGAAACAGCCTTACTAGAAAAATTAACCAATAAACTGAAACTGACACAGGGACAAATAGAAGAAGACGCCTTCACCCTGGTATGGCTCCCCTTTATCACACACACAGCCCAACAAGACAACGACAAAAATCCACCAACAACATACAAATCAAGGTGGCTAACCTGATCCAAAACACACACCCACCCCACTCATACATGAAAACAAAGACCGCCACAGCCAACCACAAATGAACAACCACACCCTAGGCCAACCCCAACCTCTCTCACCACCAAAGAAACACAAGTGAACAGCAGAGAACCTACACAAGCGACGCTGACACAAAACCCCACACATATATTAATTAAAATAGAAACATCGTCACCCAACCCCAACCCCCATCTCCCCCCCACCTCTTTCCCCCTTTTCTTCCTAATGTCTCAACAAACAAAACTGATTCGTAAAAATGTTACATGGGGGGAAAATACGAGAGAGAGCCATTGCACATACTTTTGTAAATCAAGAAAATCTTTAATAAAAATACATTAAACATAATAATAAAAAAAGAAAGGAATGTAATGTTGTTGGATTACAGCTCCCATAATCCCTGACCATTGGCCATGCAGAGTGGCGCCAACATCTGCACAGCCATCCCTTCCCCCTGAGCTAGGCAGACCGCAGCTTCCTTATGCCAGGATACACTTGTATTCTGCCAGCCCTGCCCTTTGCTTTCACAGCTCACACCTGTTGTGTTTGTTTTGTCCGCCTGGCATGGCAAGTTGTAACCGACACTGCAATGTTTTTGGAGAATACGTTTCGAAATATCTGTCGCTGAAGAGCTGCAGGGCTCAGGCAGCGGGGAGGCCCTAAACTGGCGCTCCGCAAGCATGCCAACATGCTTCCCTTTGAGGGGGGTGCCCCTTCTGAGGCAAGCAGCCCCTGCTGCCCCAGATTATGAATGATAATGCCGGCCCAGTTCTTCTTTTTCATGCTGACCTTTGGCAGGCTTCAAAGCCCGTAGGTGTAATAAATGTGGTGGCACCGCTCTTGAATGTCAGGGGTGCTCTAGGGTTTCATTGGGGAAGAGGGACGAAGGGAAGGGGGGAGAAGACAGCTATTGTGGGAAGATTATTTAAAAATGCAAAGCAATCAGTGCTCCGAGCCTAGGAAATCCAGCACAGTCACAAGCGAATGCATCAAAATAGCAATTTTAGCTCCACACTGTGATGCATTGTGCCAGCAACAAGAGATAACAATGACCTTCCTCCCCTCCTTCTTTGCTTCAGGGATTTATCTAATTGGGGCTGTCTGGTGTTTTTCTCTTTTCAGTGTTTACTCCTTCTGAAGCCCTGGCACAATTCTGACCAGCCTAAAGCTGAATTAATGATTCGCAGGCATGAGAGACAAAGTCACAGTTTGGCTTTTTCAAAATCTGTAGCTCATCAGTGGCAGAACATCTGCTTTGCTCCTAGATTCAGTCCCCAGCATCTCCAGGTAGCGATGGGAGAGACCCTCTGTTTGAATCCCCAGAGAGATGCTGCCCCTCAGTGCAAGACCAGTGGCCTGACGCTGTGTTAGGCAGTGTCTTCTGTTTCTAGCCTCAGGCAGAGTTTGAAAATGATGTCCCAAAGCAGTAACCACTGACAAGCAATAGAATCTTGAAGGCATCATTTACCTCCTCAGATATTATAGTTGCAGGCCACCTATTCACACAGGGTACCCATATCCTCGCATCCATATGCTCAAGACTAAACTATATGTTACAATAAACCAGGAATAGCCAAGGTGGCGCTCACCAGATGTTTCAGACTACAACTCCCACTATCCTTGTCCACTGCCCAAATTGACTGGGGCTTAGGGAGTTGTAGTCCACCACATCTGGAGAATAATAATAATTTATAATAATAGTAATTTATTATTTATACCCTGCCCATCTGGCTAAGTTTCCCCAGCCACTCTGGGTGGCTCCCAACAGAATATTAAAACACGATAAAACATCAAACATTAAAAACTTTCCAAGCAGTGCTGCCTTCAGATGTCTTCTAAAAGTCAGATAGTTGTTTATTTTGTTGACATCTGATGGGAGGGTGTTCCACAGGGCGGGCGCCACTACTGAGAAGGCCCTCTGCCTGGTTCCCTGTAACCTCACTTCTCGCAGTGAGGGAACAATGAGAAGGCCCTCAGAGCTGGACCTCAGTGTCCGGTCTGGATGATGGGGGTGAGACGCTCCTTCAGAACACCACATTGTCTATCCCTGCACTAAACCTTCCTCCGAATTTTGTCCCCCTTCATGGTCTCCACCGTTCCTAAATCTCAAAAAGAATTAGAATATTGTATGGCCAATGCAAGATAAACAGGCATTTCTCTCTTTTCGAAACAAAAGGCATCTATATCTAATATTTAGGACTAATATTGAGGTTGTTATCCCTGTGTACAGAGCCAATGGGCTTCTCTGGAAATACATGTGGTCTCCAGAATGTGATCTCCTGGTGGAGGTGGTGATGATTGCTCAATATCTTCTAGAGGGCATCTCCGCTTCCTCAATCTCTCTCGTGCTGCCAACCATTGAACCTTCTTCTCATCTTCCTATGGAAGTAGACATGAGGAAGAACATAATTTGCTTCTGCATTGCACTGTGCCTTGTATTTATGATCCAACACCAGGGTGGGAAATCTGTGCCCCCCCTAAATCTGTGGTAGCTAACATATTGCTTTCCACATGTCATTGGACTCCAACTCCCATCAGCCAACATGGATCAGCAACATCTGGATAGCACCACGTTGGCTACCCGTATGCAAAATGTTGGGGTCCAGCTCCCATCATCCTTGATCATTGGCCATGCTGGCTGGGACTGATGGGAGTTGGAGTCTGATAACATTTGGGGGACACACAGATACCCCATCCTTGCTCTTTGTGATTGGTGTTGCATTAACTCGCCGAATAATACCTTTTCCCCATTGCTATACTGAGGTTTAAAGCATTATTTTTTTAAAAGAAAAGAAACCCACTGGTGGTGTTCAGTTGCACCAGTGCTATTCCATTGTGTATAGGGGGCCCATGTTGCAGAAAATATATTACTTGAAAGCAAGATCTAAAGAAACCGTTGTTCCCCAAGAGAGGCATTCATTTTATACTGCTGTCAGGGCACTCTTGTAA